GCATCTACTGTATCAGAAATATCAATCAACGTGATTATTAAAATTATTTAAGATATTTTTTTTTAGCTTTTAGAATTTAACTCTTATCTTACTAACTGAAATAAAAAAATTAGTAGATTAAATATATATATATATATATATATATATATGTTATGTTTGAAAGTTTGAGTAGAAAAATATTTTTTTAAAGTAGTTAATGTGTATTAATTTTTTAATTATAGCATTTCTTTAAAGTTTATATATTCTTAGTTGAAATCATAATACTATTATATTAATTAATAAAAGGTTATAAAAATTTAATGATAAAGCATAAATATGTATAATTAAATAAATGCTTTTGAAACTTTATAAAAAATCTTATGTTAAATATTAATAAAAATAATTAAAAATTTCTTATAAAAAAATTGAAAGGAATAACTGATAGATTTTAGATTAAGTTTCTAATACATTAATGCGTGTTGCTTTCTTAAACACAAGCTCTTAAGTATATATTTAATTTCGTAACACTTAATATAAAATAAATCTCATTCCTATACTACTTTGTAGGTTTTTCACAAGTTGGATTCAATTTTTACTCAAAATATCATTCAAATTGAACATAAAAAATAATATGCAAATTTAGTTCGATTTGAAAACAAGTTGATATTTTATATTTTAATTTGGATTAATTTTTCATTTTTTATTTTTTATTAAATTACTTCTACTTTTTAAATTTTTATTTATTATTACATGACTTTCAATTTAATTTTAATTAATTTATACTAAGTATTAGTTTAAAAATTAAAATGAGTTTGTTCAAAAATTAAAAATAAAAAAAAGAATCATTGATTAAAAAGATAAATTTATATAAAAATGATAAATTATTTATAAAGAAAAAAAATACTCAATTGAGAAAAAATTTAAAGTAAATAGAAATAATGTAACATATATTTATACAATATTATGATAAAGTTGAGTAAAAATAATTTTATATGAAAATAAATAAAAATATTATAAATTTATTATAAGTGTGGTTCATTTCAATTTTAATAATGAGAACAGAAAATTGAACCGTGACATAAAATGTCATCTTTTCAAATTTTGTTTCGTTTTGATTTAATCAGTTTTTTTTTTATCAGTTGACCAGTTTGAGAACAGTTGATTTGATGTTTACATCCTTACTACTTTGGACCCTTAAAATAATAATTATGAGTGCAAAATGATTATACTTAAAAAAAAAAAGCAATTGAGATATCTAACTCCTTTAAAATGAATAGTTTATTTTAAAGAGTAAAGTAAAACATATCAATTATCAATAAAAAAAACTAAAGAATAAATCTTAAATTCATTATTTGTTATCAAAATTCATGTAATATATATATATATATATATATATATATATATATATTTGTCAACAATGGTTGGTGTTTCAATTTTTTTTTTCCTTTAAAGTGAAGGCTCACTTTAGAATTAGCAAATTCTTATAAGTGACCTAAAGTAATTCAATTATAACAAGCATCGTCATTCTTATGTAACTTTTGGTAAATATTTTAATACTAAATACAATATATACGTTCTGTTTTATGTTTACAATTGATATTACTTTGATACTAATAAAAAAAGAATTAAGAATAAAACAGTTTAGTTTCACTAAGTTCTATTTAATTTATTCTCTGTGAACAAATGCTACCTTAAATTCTCTAATATTATCTTTGGAGCACGATACATGCATGTTCATGGTTTTCTGTTACTACCGTAGGAGTCCAGTAAGATCAAGACAATCTACCATGGGTTAGGCTATCTAGTGGTGCATCTTGTGATTGAGCGTGTTGTAGATCTAAGTAAAAATGAAAAAATGGCTGTGATTTATTTTATTTTTGCTGTAATTGTTACTTGATAGATAATACTGGTTTTTATTGGTTTTTTTACAATTTGGTTTCTGGGAAAAAAATTGCATATAGATGTCTTTTTCGAAGTATAATTGCTTGTTGGCTCTGTCATCTTTTTCGTCTCTAGTTTACTTTTGCAAGGATTGTGATTAGAATCCATCATCCCTAAATCTAGAGTTACCATTTCAACCTCCATGGTTAAAGCTTTAATTTTGAGGAGGTTCACTTAGGATTTAATTGTTTCTTTTCTTTCCTTGAATTAGGATTATCTGCCTCTCCCTCTATATCTCTCTATCTATATCTAACTACTCTTTTAAATTGCGTGATTCACAGGCGTTGAATTGGTTTCAATATAACAATTTTTTCTTCAATTAGTTTGTGCATATCATTGTTTGATTCAAAAACTCTAGTCATGGTGATCTTTGCTATGTTTGTGTGGTTATGGGGTTTTTTATGTTTTCTTTTATGTGTAGATCGATGATCGACCGAAGTTCTGTATGTTTGGTTGATTTTTACAAGTTGCACAAAAACCCGTAAATCACTTTTAGAATTTAAAAGAAAACACTAATGAGTATGTTGTCTTTCTTCTTTGTTTAAATAAATATGTTGGAGTTTGATATACACCCAAAAAATTACTTAAGAGAGGTAGAAGACAAAGACCATTTTGAAAACGATAATGTTCCATCATTTTCACAATTTTCTTGTTTCTATTTTTCTTTAAGCATTTATAAGTAACTTGTAGTTGTGGACCTTAGGTAACTAGAACACATGGGTTAATAAAATTGCGTTTCAGACAGAGAGAGAATTATTATTTTTTTAATTATTCATAAAAAAAAATGTTATTCACAGTCCTTTTGACTGATTTAAATAAGTAATAATAATAAAATTTTATTAAAAAATTTATTCATTATACTTTTATACCTTTAACATAATAAATTTATTATTTTTTAAATAAAAACTTAATACTTCTAAAATATTTAAATTTAGCATCTTCTTCCACCGCGGCTTTCAGAGAGATGTTTGAACAAATGTTTTCAACTGAGAATATCACATACGTTGAAGATCAACGAATGAAAAGGGAAAAAAATCATTTAACTCATTTTAACTTAAAACAGAGACTGTTTCACTAATTTAAAAGTTTAAAACCCAAAAGAACTACAAATATTTTAAGGATTATATAGCAATAAAAAACCACGTGTACTTGTTAACTTTTTTACGCACTTCTAAATAAGCTAACTCGTAGTTAACTAAACAAGAATAAGACTCTATCCACAGTGAAATTTCTGTCACAACGTTTAAGAAAATAATTATATTTGTGTCTTCTTCTAAGAAAAGGAAAACAAAGTATTCTTTTTAATTAAGACTGTAACTATAAAAAAAATTACTCAAATTAGATAGAACTATTAGAAATAAAAAATTTAAAATATTTAACGTAACTGTATATTTAAAAATTAAATTAAAAAAAAAAAAAAAATCTTGCGTTAATGACCGTGAACTGGAGCAAGAGAAAACGGAAACCGTAAAAACAAAAAAAAAGGTTTGGAGAAAGGGATGATCTTATGTGGGCTTTAGTTGTGTGAGTGCGACACCATAGAATTTCTGCTTTGGGCCTCAGCTTTTGACACCATTAAGATGACATTTTTATGGGCATGCTGCTTTGGGTCGTGACACACACTGAACATCAACCATCACATTCCGGAAATGTTTTTCTTCACAAACCTCCCATCATGCGTCCTGTCAATTGTCAAACCTCCTGGATACCCTAAATTTGGTCCATGCTCATATTTACACTACGCTTTTTCCTTGTCATCTTCAGAACTTACTGTCAAAATTTAGGTGTATTTCATATAAGGGATTTTTATTTATTTTTTGTTAATAAGAATGATTATAAATCATTAATTTTTTATTTAATTTTAAAGTTATGTTAATATAGTATTATATATTTATTTTAGTCATTTAATATAGTTTAGTTAATTTTATTAAATAACTTTAATTCAATTAGTTACTTGTAAAGTTATAAACTTTTAATTAACTTATGAGCTACAAGTTATATGTTATATAACTTTCAATTAGTTTACTGAAAAAAATTATTTTAACCTATTTATTTTTATCAACTTTTACAAACTATAAATTAACTTCTTGAAAAATCGTATTAAGCTTCAAATTTTATTTATAAGCCTTTTAAATTTAATGGCTCCCAAGTGCGAATATCAATTGATAAAAATTATTAATATAAGTAATGAAATTTTCTTGCATTACATGTATATTATGAAATTAAATTATAAATAAAAAATTAAAAATATACTTCATTAAAAATATTCTATTATGTTAGATAAAACTAAATTAAACATTAGATTTTTTAATTAAAAAATAAATTATAAAAATTAAAATTAAGATTAAATTAAAAAATGTTAAATGTAAAAAAAAAAATGTCACATAATAAGAAAGAAAATAATTCTTAAAAATGATCTTATTTAAAAATTAGAACTCATATGTAATATTTAAGGTAAAATAACAACCTCAAATTTGAATGCTGTAAATGTAATTGCATTAAAACAAAATAAGAAAAATACTTTTATCATTTGTTATAAAATAAGGTGAGTCAAATTAAAAATGAAAAATGATTCTTGTACTCTTAAAGTGGGACACTGTTTGTGTCTCCTTTGATTGTGGTTAATATTTTATAGATGTGTGTATACTAAAAACTAATAAATAAAAGACTTTATTATACTTTTGATTCTTATATTTTAATGTGTTTGTAATTTTAATTTTAAATTTTAATTACTCATTTAAATTAAATCTTTTATTCTAAAATCAAGACTTTTATTGCATTTCATATATTTTAGTTTGTATTTTTATTTAAAAAAATTATACTTTTCTTTACTTTTTTGTATAAATTAATAAAATGTCATATCTCTATTATATTTTTATTAATTATTAGATAAAATTTTAGAATGAAAGATTAGATTTGAACATTTGAAAATTAGAAGATTAAAAGTGAGCAATTAAAATTATACTTTTGTTAGAATATAAAAACTTAAAGTGCAATTAAGCTAGAATAAGAAGAGAGAGATAAAATTAGATTTCAAATAATAGAATTGAATAAAAAATGTTAATTTGAGTTTTCCTATATTACTTGCCCTCTTCCAAATGAGAGAACTTTCTTTTCAGGACCTCGTTCTCTTTTCTTAGTTTCATAATTTTCTGCTTAAGTGTTTCCACTTGCCAATTTGAGGTCATTTCTTGCTGCTGGTCAACCATCTTTGCTTTACAAATCAGCACTGCAGGGAACAGAAAAACCTCCCATTTATGTTTAGGTGATATAAAATGAAAATGCTCAAGTAGAACAATAAAATGGTTTTGTAAATAGTCGAGAATGGGACTTCAGGTTTTGGTTTGCTCAGGGATTGGGAGATTCAGTTGACGGGAATCTGGCAAATCTGTCTCAAGATAGAAAAATACAAATGTATTGACAGAATAGAGACATGGGAATAAAATTAGCACTTACATTCCTTTTCCAGATGTTGGACTTTTCTGTTTAACTCGTTTTTCTCTTCCTGTTCAACCGCAAGACATTCTTTCAAATCCTGAACCTCAGAACTATCTGTCAAATAACGATGAGAAAAGCCAGAAAGAAAATGTTAAGACCCCTTGATCCGAGTATAGATATATCACTACCTAGTGAAAAAGAAAAACCATATATTTACTGCTAAACAAAGTGCCTCACATTTTGATTCCACTTCAACATGAATTTGGTCCAACCTATTGGCTAGAACTTGCATGTGACTTTCACGTGCAGCCAAATCTCCATGGAGTTGGCTTATTGTTGCTTCATATGTTGCTTTCTCATGTAGAGATGCCCTGACATAAGGTGAGGACAATGATCATCAAAAGAGCAAAACTTCACTCCAATGATGGACATATTTTGACGAGTAAATGATTAAATTAGTCCCCAAAAATTTATATCACCCTATAAACGATGAAAATCACCCTTAACATCCCAAATTGAGCCCTAATTCGTGACTCTCATGACTGATTTGATTAATAAAATGCGCATTGAGGGACTAATTTGACCATTAAATATATGTTTGTTTACAAAATTATCGATACTCACTTAACTTGAGCTTCTAAACGCGCAATTTTTTCTTCATATTCTCGCTTAAACAACTCCACACCCTGCCTAAGTCCCTGCGCAAAAACAAAAACCGAGTTGTCTAAAACTGTAATATATTATCCAACCGCTTTGGTAATTTTCTATCTCTCATCATCAAATCACAAAGCGTTAAATTCAAAATTTTACAAGCTTAAAACAACTTACGTCTTCCTTATGCACAACTTCATTTTTTATCCTTTCCAATTCTTCTTTCAAGTTCAAGCATTTTGTACGGTAGTCAAGCTGTAACAATTGTTCATTTTAAATTAACAAGTTCAGGAAATGTTTTCAAATTTTAATTGCAGTTACAAATCAAAATTACAGTTAAACCACTTTTCAAAAGCAAAGTTCATCGGTTCATGATTGAAGCACCTGATCAGCCAGATTCTTTAAGGACTCCGCGTACAGTTTTGCCATCCTTTCATTTTCTACAACATTACAAATTAAATTTAGTGTATATTTGAAAACACGCTAAAAGTATTTAAAACGTCAAATTAACACAAAAAGATACAACTAATAACTTAAATCGATACATGCACTTGATACATCAGAGACTCAAATCTCTATACGCCTAACTAAATAAAGATAGGATGCGAAAATTTTATAGGACCTGTTTTGAGGGTGTTGCAAGCGACTTGGAGTGATTCCCGCATCTTGAACTCAGCGTTGTAGTTGGATTGCAGCAACTGCATCTCCGAAACGCCGCTCTTGGCATCCTGAGCCATTAAGGTAAAAAGAAAAATCAATGTTCCATTGATGATCGAACGTTGATAGTGCCAAGTGTTCGGTTCGAATATTACCTCGTAGATCTGATCGAATGCGCAGAGCAGTGACTCCATTTCTTCGTCACTGGTTGCCGCCATTTTCATTTCTTCTATTAACAAATTCAAATTCTTTTCCTACAACGACCGTTTACTATTGTTAATGAGGGCTTCTTTAGACTATTGGGGCTGTCGCCGTCCTTGGCCCAATTCTCACCTCGAATAGGCCAATTTCTTTTTGTATTCCATTTTTCTCTTTGCATTGCTTTTATTACTTTTGAAAATTAAATTTTAGAAATAATTTACAAAAGACTTCTAAAATTTAATTTCTAAAAAAATTAAATCATTCTAAAAATTAGTTTTAAAAAAATTATTTATAAATTAAACCTATCAGCTCCAAAGTTTGTCAACAACCTCATTGCAATGTATGTAACCAAATCAACCATAAAACTGAACCATAAAATCTGCCAAAGTAGAAATATATTCTTTTAAACAAAATCTTTTACTGACTCTTTATAATTGATCAGAACTTTAACAAATTAAAATATCTGTAAAAAAAACTAATTTATGAGGCAAATATTCTAATTTTAAAAAATGTGTAAAAAAAGTGTTGAAAAAAGTTCTAAAAAAATTTAGGGGAGTAGGAACTAGGCTTTCCTTCCTTTGCTTATTCCAGTGGCCTTTTCCATTCTTTCAACCTAAAGATAGCTTAAAATGCATCACACTAACGAAAAAGGGGAGACAAGAATCAAATTTGGAACTCAAATGGAAGGTTGTCTTCACTTATCCACGGTACGAGCAAAAGCAATTTTAAATGAAAATTTGAAATGTGACAAACGATTTAAATTATCTCAAATACGAAATTTAGTTTCCGGTTTCTTGGAATGATATAATTTACAGACTCTGACAGTCACTACCGAATCAATGAGTGCTTAGGACAGTATTAAACCCCAAATGCAAGAAGGATGTGGAATAACAACAATCAAATTGATACAAAAAATGAGGCATTACTCCTGATACCGTAAACAACACGAAGACAATCTGGATCTTGTGTATGTAACGGCAGTATTGTTATAGTAGCACGGTCATCTAGACTGCCATAGGATTTGCTTATCAATCTTGCTCAGCTTCTCATCATCAAGGCGTTTCCAAGTCATGATTCTTTGCACGTCCAACCAGGACCCTTTTCCTTTCTGAAGTTCAGCCAGTATAATCCTTGCTCTCCTTGGCCACCCAGCCTTGCCATACCCATGATATCCAAAGCCACCACCATAACAAAACCATATGCCATCTAAGTTTCCACAGAAGTCATTGGTGTGGTCGTGGCCTATGAACACAGACTTCACATCTCCCATGGAGACAAAGGTCTGCAAGACCCCTGAGTTCATTCGAGAGCATGCCACAGCCTCCTGAAACTGGCCTACGATCTCCTTGTAGAAGAGCTGTGGAATTTCTGGGATTGGGATATGGAAAAATGCCAGTGCTGGTGGTGTAGAAATAGCATCAGTAGGATGAAGAGGATCCACCTTTTGTCCCTGTTAGTGTGTGACCTGCAAGATGTTAATGGGATCTAAATCTGGGAAACCTACCTCAAGCGAATAGAAAGGTTGCGTCCAATGAATAACAAAAAGTGCATGATATTATTGAAGGAGAAATAAATAATAATCTGCTGATAAAAGGTGTAACATTTTTCTCACAAGCCTGTTTAGGTTAAGTGTTATTAGCATGAGGAGGTAGCTTATGAGGATACCAGGGTGAAAGCTGAAAAAAGTGGGAGAAAAATATTCAGCTTATTGCAACCATTACTGTCTGCCCCACCCCCATATATTCATTTCTTCTCTGTTAGTTAGTACAATTTTAAGTCAAATGCAGTTTGCTATTGGAAAATGCAGTTGTTGTTCATTGCTAAAGACCTAAAACCATGGAAGAAGAGTTCTGTCACTCTTGGACTTCGCACATTAACCTTGTGTGAAATATCTGTCCAAAGTTATTTCAAGGCAGCAATTGCTTCCTTCTCGGACATGCCTGGGTTATTCTCTAATTTTCCCAAGCCGACTCTCATTTTTCCCACCTGGTAATTTATGTGAATCTAATAGTGCATATGTACTATACATGTTACTTTGCTCTATTCCCCAGGCAACTTTTCTACTATACAATTGACAAAATACTATGTATATGTAGCTAAGCTGAAACTTATGATGTATCCACAAAATTCTTGCACACTTCCCATAGAAAAATAGTCGTAGAGAAAGTATAAATCACTACCAAGGAAAGAAAAGGAAAAAAAATTATGAAGATTGTATTTGTTTACAGAAATACAAGTCAATGAAGACAAATATGGGTAAGAATCATGCCAAAATTGAGGTATAGAAACATTAACATTTGGTGCCAGTTTGATTCAGTGTACAGTAGAATTAATTTTGATGGAATTGATTTTGAGCTGCTTAATGTGATTCAGATGTGTGCCTAAATTTATCTGAACCACATATTTGCATTGAAATGTGTACTTTTCATTGTTAAAGTGTAAGAATCAATTCTTTAACTTTAAAACAAACAAGGGCTTAGTCTCTTTATAATCATCACGAATTAACAACTCTTAAACACAAGTGGGTATAACTAGCAAGGGTGACAAACTGAATGTTCAGATTTTAGATTTTGTTATTACCTGGAATTCTTCAGAAACACGGCGCAGCCATTGAAGTTGAGAGTCCTTGATCCATCCATAAGTTCGAATTCCCTGATAAACAGCCCTGTCTCCACTGTCAAGAAAGAAAAGATTCAAAACAGTGCTGTTTGCCAGCATGGAACCTGGGGCACCGTACACTCTTAGGTTATAATTCCCAAAGCCATCAATTTTAGTCATTTTGCCACCTTTAGTAGGATTAGTGAGATCATCGTCTGATGGATTGATTTGTGAGACAGAATAATCCATAAGGGAGATTAAGGACATTAATTCTTCACGATTCATAGTTGATTCTTGGTCGTGGTTTCCCAATACGGCTGCCCAAGGAAGTCCAGATTCCATAGCAGGACCAAAGGCTTTAAACAGAGATTCTGCAGCATCAACTGTACTTGATCCAAATATATTATCTCCTAAATGCAAGAACTGAATCCATGTTAATTAGGAAGTAGGCACACTGGCGCAGGCAGAAAACAAGCAAAAACATTGTAAATAGTTAAGTATTAACAAAAATCCTGTTGAGGACCCTATGGCAACTAAACATTAAAAATGAAGAGCCACCTATAGAGCACACATGATTAGGTTCAGCCATCAAAGATATTGAATGGAAATGGTCATGGAATATTTTCATTTATGCAGAAATAAGCAGGAAGAATTTATTTTCAATCAGAGAATGTTTAAATACTGCTGGTGCTGAATACATTTAGAAAGGGAAAGGCATGTCTAGAAAGTGCTAAAACCAAAGTAGACAAATATTTAAATTGCACATCAATATCAATGTCTCTAAATGACTTGTAGTTTTTCTGAACAAATCCATTCAAATGACTTGCTTCCTCATCCAGGTTTGTTGCACCTGTAAGCAAAGCACCAATAATCTCGCTTCCTCTACTTCTATTCCCACACAATCTGTAAATGTGCATTACTTGCTATACTGTAAGCCATATAAAATTGTTTCTGTTCTGTAAGAAACAGCAGGTTGTTCTTTCATGAGAGATACTGTCTCTTAATTCTTAGCAGAACCCAGCAATAATTGTGTTACATGACAGGTGGTATGACAGATCCATTGATTAACCATATAATAGAAAGAAGTGTAGGATGGAGGGCAGTGGGATGCGTGTGGATGAAAGAAGAAAGAAGCAAGGGAATGAAAGAAGTGGTGGGAACTTCCTACATGTAGAGAAAGAGCCAAGAGAGAAGTTGCTTAAGGGAAAAGATGTCAGCAACAGTATGAACAGCCGGCACATGCTGAGGGGGGAGGAGGATTCCGGTATCTCACTGAAGAAAGTAAATGAGAATAAGAAGGGGAGGGACAAGGACAAAGGCTACAGCCCTGCATATCAGCAGTCTCTAGTTGTTATTTTTGTTTTCTACTGCAATACTTTCCATTTCTGTATCAGAGGATTATCTCTTATTGTAGGAGCTAGCCTCTAGTTTTCTCTACAGTGATTCAAACTTAAATCATGGTATTTACTCTTTTTATTTCAACTCCTTTCACCAATAACTCACTATTTAAAGGCCGAGGTACGTAATTATAATTTGACAGATATCATCCTTCCAAACTTCCTCTTGCAGTAAGCTTCTTTTAGTAGGATAACTTTGGGGCTTTGTCGATCCATAATTAACAAATATAACTTTTACAAACTTCAATTTCCGAGAAAATGCCTCATGGCGATTGGGCATTTTCAAATGTTCAAAATGATGAAAATCGATAACGGAGAGTTTTGAAGGACCATATTAAAATCTCCATCATATCTCGTCCTATTAACTAAGAAAAGTAAGGAAAGAACATTTTTGTATAGATAACACACACCAAACCACCATATAAATTAACAAACCATCTGAAAATAATATTAGATGGCGCACAAGCAATATGGCAACGAACCCTTTATACCAGTTAAGACGTGTAGTTTCTTCTATTTTACGCTCACAACATCCCTTTTTACGAGATCAAGATATAATTATGCTACTTTACACACAAGCAAGAAAGGCATAAACAGGAAAAGTACCAGTAAAGGCAATAAAATCAGGATTCTCAGCCTGAATGATGCGCTTCAAAAATCGAGTGGTGTTAAGATCGGAACAAAACTCGAACTCAGAAGCCAACACGTCCCTGCACCGCGTTATGCTTCCACTACCATAATGCATATCAGCAACCTACCATCCATCAAAACCACCGAAAACAGTTACGATTTAATTTTATATATAATTAATAATGAAAATTAATGTAAGAATGAAACCTGGAGAATTTTGAAGGTACCGTCCGAACGAAAGCGTAGAGGGAGGTGAGGGGTCTTCTTGATGCGCACAGTTGGGTTGGCAAGGAAAAGTTTAGCTGAAAAATGGGTTTGAGTAAGGTGCAGAATTGCGAGGACGAAGGAGAAGTAGAGGATTGAGTATTTCCAGTTTTGCGTTGCGTTAGAATCCATCACGCAACGCTTTCCTTTCCCACTCAGTGAAGATCGGAGTTCATTGCTTTTGCTCGTCAACAACAACTGCACCGTTGTTCTAACCGTTGGCCTCGCTTATTGGGCTTTCAGTGGATCATGGTCCTAGTCCAAACGCTACTTCATGGGTCGTTCATATGCATTCGTAAAATTCATTTTGTAGTATTCATTCAGAATTTTCCTTTAAGATTATTATTTGTACTATTTTTTTTATGTAACTTTTTAAATTTTGATTTTGGAGATAATGTATTTAATATTGATAAGGATTTGATTTTAGAAGTGATTTTTTATTAATTTTTAGTATTTAATTATTAAAAATTATAAATTATTTTTAAATTTTAATTTTTAGAAGTAATTTATAAATTAATTTCAGAATTTATTTACAAATAAATTTCATTATTTAATTTCTAAAAGGTGTGAACTTATTTTTAAAAATTAAAATTTGGAAGTGATTTGTAAGTTACTTTAAGAATTTAGTTTTTAAAAGGTATTAAACACATTTTTAGAAAATATATTTCAAAATTAAAAAATAAAAATATGGTCTAAATAATATAAAAATATAATGCAAAAATAATCTCCTTGAAATTTTCTATATTAATGAAGTCTTTCTTTTTACATAACATTTTTTAAAAATAAACATTCTTACACTGTTTAACTTACTCTAATTTTTCTTCTTCTTCTTTTTTCATTCATCCAAAAACTAAATATTTTTCTTTATTTTTTTTTAGTTTGTATTTTTTTTTACTTCTTTCTTTCTTATTTTAATTTTCATACAAAGCATTTGTGTCATATAATGTATATGAATAAAAATAGTATTAATGAGTATTAGACTCTTAACAACTGTGATTAAAAAATTCAACAAAGACATGAAGTTGAACTTTTTAATCTCAATTAATAAAAGTGTTATACACTCTAAGATATTTTAATGCATGTCACAATATATATATTCTTACACTAGTGTAAGTCTAAAAATTCTTACACTTGATTTGAGTCTTTTATTTAATTTATATCTAACAATCAGTGAAATAATAAATTATAACTCGTTAGATGTAAATTAAATAAAAAATTTAAACCGAGTGTCATAATTTTTAGACTTATATCTGTGTAAGAAGATCATGCTCCATATATATATTATTAAAATAAAATAAAAATTAAAAGATTAATTATTGTCTTACGACCGTTTAGTTTGTACTTTATTAACGTATAATGAATACAAACTCGATCAGCATTATACATTGATATCATAATTCCTTTGTGTGAAGTATATGAAATATAAGTTCCACGTCTCATTAGCAAATAGCAACACCTTATATGACCCTTTTCTTAAAATAATTTCAATTCAATTACGTATAAAAAATCATACATTATTATTAATATTATTATAGCATCTTAAATGTATAGCATCTTAAAATTAAATTAAAATTCAAACATATTACAACAATTATAAATTAGTGAATAAGATATCAAGTGAATCATAATATAATGTAAGGCATATTAGATATCAAACACAAACGGAGTTCAGATTAAAGTTATAAACATCTTACGACGAATATAAATCAGTAAATAAGGTACAAAGATAAAACGTGAGTATTTTAATTACTAGTTAAAATATTGTTAAATTTCAATGGGTCACATGTTGATTTTTTTTGTTGTACCGGTCAACAAGTAAAAAGTATTGAATTTAAAAAATTAGGACCAAATTAAAAAAAATTGAGGATTTCAAGTGAAACACGTATTCATTACTTGCATATATGTTTCTCTTTGAATGAATATTTCCTTCATTGTCCACTAGCTCAAGAGTTGTGATTTTACATTCTTTTTTTATGAAAAGAAATCTTAAAATTTAGATTTATGATATATTATCTCATGATAATATATATGTTTGATGCTCTCAATTCTTTAGTAGTCTTAGAAATAACAAAATAATAGGATATTTAGTAATTTGCTTAGGATTTATGCAAATATTTTCTAACAAATTCATATTTAGGTTAAATTTGCTACTTTTTACTACAAATAAATTACTATTAAGAACTTTTAGATCTTTTCACTCTTCATTTTTATTAAACTGGGAGTCAATAATTACTTCTTTACCACCTATGATTGCATGGTAATGGAATATAATGTTATCATCTACATAAGATGACTTAAGATTAAAAAAATGTATTATAAAAATAATATATTCATTTAAAAAAAATCATAGTTACTTATTTAAATACAACTATTCTCTTAAAAGTCAAAAAATAAATAATACATATAATTATATACATGCATCGAAAAGTTGTTTTGTTCTTCCTTGTTTTGATATTCAAGATGATTGTCAAAAGTGGAGTTTCTATTTCAGTGACTGTATATGGATCAGTTCTTAAAATTATAGAGGTTATAAGAGGGTTTGCTCAGGGAGTAAACCATCAAGAATAATGGAAATATGTTCTGACATATCAATTGGCGATTCAACAGAAGCAAGAGTATTTACAATTTTCTTAATCAACAAATACAAATTAAGAGAGTTAGATTTTTTAATACTTTTCAACTGAGCTTTCAATTGCGATACCTTCGCTTGAGTTTGTGACTCGAAATAAACTTGAAGAGTGTACCATATCTGAAAAGAATGATCACAACCAACCATCATAGTATGCAAACTAGGGGACATTGATGCAAGAAGCCATGTAAAGATCATTTGATCCTATTGATCCCAAGTCTCATATTCATCCGTAACTATATCTGCGACTTTATCTTCGTCAGTTTTGTATTTTTTTTGGCATGCCTCCGCATGAAGATTGATCAGAAATTTCTGCAATTTGAACAATCAGATGGTTCTTAAGGCTTGCATCTTCCATATGAGGAAGTTTTCATCATCCAATTTGATGAAAATAGGAATCATCGTATGATTAAGGTTAGGATTTTGAGTAGTCACCATTGATGTCAAGATCGTTAGTTTTGATACCATAAAGAATCAAAGAACAACGGTAAGCGAGTGAGAGAAAATAAGATAAAAATAAAGAAAAAAGAAAAATATTATTATAATTAAATATTATTCATAATAAAGTAAGAAAGTACAATATATAAGAGATCTATATAGAGAGAACAAACATTCTCTTTATATACATATACGAGTTATTCACAAACTATTATTTTCAAATTTACATAATTTTAACTTAATTAATTTAACTAAGTTAGTCTATCTTAACCAAACATTTAACAAGCCAGATTCAAATAGCTCTTTAGCAACTCATTTACATCCCTATCCCTTGAAGACAAACCAAATATATTAACATAATTTTCTATCTTAACTTCAAATTTAAGTTTAAACACTTTTAATCCGCAAAATCCTTCCTCTAAACATTTAACATTGTTGCATTTGTAAGAACTCGAATATTAAGACTTGTAATAAAACAAAAATATTTCCCTGACAACTTGTTCACTCGGTGGGACAACCTAATACTCTTGATCACCTTAATAACTCAGACGAAATTAATAAACCGTTCGTACGACGTATGAAAATGATGATTTGGAGGGACCAAGAAGTTTATCAAGAGGGGCCCCAAAGAGTTAAGTTTACTTTAATTAAGATGACTAAATCCGAAATCATATGGGAAATTCGAAAAGAGAGAGAGAGAGAGAGAGAGAGAGATAAAAAAGAAAATGAAAGGTTGGCCCTGCAACTGGCTCTTCCCCTTGGCCATGGTAACTTGAAGGGTCAAATCCAAAATTGGTCCAAAATTTAAAGAAATAGGAGCAGAGTTGAAGTCCTGATTTGGAAGTCACGGCCCTCGACTATTTTCATGTAACATCTTCGGACGAGAGACACAAGTTTGGGTCAACGAGGACTCCGATAAACGTGTGGAGTGGATTCACTGTCCTGTAGATTCCTCTTATAATTACACCATCATTTATCAATAATCAGCTAATCTTTCTTTCTTTTTTTCTCCTAACAAAATTATGCCTAAATACGCATGATAATTTTTTTTATAAATATTACATTGTTTAATATTATTAATAATTTAACATTTTTTCTTATTCCATATCAAAATTATGAAGTATTCTTAAATTTAAAGAATTTAAAATTATTTTTCATTTATATTTTATAGCTATTAGTATTAATAGTTTAAAAACCTTACACAAGGTAAAATTTGAATGCAATACCTCGTGTTAAATAATTAACTCCACACATTGCATTGTTTGAGTTTGTTTAAAATTTAAAACTATATAAAGCAAAATATATTAAAAAAAATTAATGTTAATCTTTGTATAAATTTCGTGATATATATATATATATATATATATATATATATAATTGTAATCAGCAATATAAATGGTCTGTGTTAGTGAAATTATAATTAAAAATAAAATATATAAAAATGACTAATTTAGATATTTTATTTTTTGTGAATTATATTTTAATAAATTCATTTAGTTTTTGATTTACTTAATAATATTTTTAAAATTTTTTTTTGATGATATATCAATAATAAAACTTAATTTGAATTTTAATAAATATAATTGTTTTAAATAATTGAAAAGAGATTTTTGGTGTCTATAGTAAAAACTTTGTCGTTTGTAATAATTATATCTTAGTTATATCTAACTTAAGCAAGATTGCATCAATGAAAAAGTGCAGTGTAATATATAAAAAGAGTGTATCTAATAAAAATGTTAAATTTTATTATGAATAATTAAAATCAAAATATAAATTTTATACGATAATTTTAAAATTCGGGTGAATTTTTTAAATAATTATATGACTAAAAAATTTTAAATTTTTAAAAATTATTTATGAATTTTATTAACAAATAATCTTAAGAATTGAAAATGAAAAGTTAAAAAAAAAAAAGAGTAAAATTGTATTAAAATTTATTGAAATATTTATTACTAATGGCAACTGCTAGCGGTTACATTAATGCACATTACTGCTGCTGCCATCGCGTTTACGTGATTGACTTGCAACTTGCCAGTCGCCAAAGTCACAGGACAATGTGAAAACAATCCGCCTCGCCAGACGCTACCGTTTAGCTTTTTCTTTTTCTAATT